TGTGTGTGTGTGTATTGTGTGCCACGAACCTTTCTGCCGGATGCTGCCATATTAGTCCTTTTCTCTATCATTGCCTCTGGCAATGGGCAAGTTCAAGGTTCAACTATGTGTGTGTGTATAGTCATGCACACACTCTCGTGTGTGGTTGAGTTGGCTAGACAAAGTGACCGTGCATGGGCACGAGGTTTCCGTCATGTCGATGGTATTGGAATTACGTACCGTATTTTCTGGAGACAACGCCGCACTTTGAACACTCAAAATTCACCCAAAAGAATGGCTTATATTCCAATGACCAAAATGACAGTGATCATCAAATAGATGTCTGTATTTCATGGCAAAAAAATGTGGGGGAGGGGAGGGGGTGCGGTTTATACTCCGGAAAATACGGTACTGTATGACTTGTAATCTAAAATATAAATTTCTCTTAGCCTTGTTAGTGGAATTTGTGTCATTGCTCAGTGGGTATGGGTTGCAACGCCTTGTTGATTATTTTGTAGGAACAACAAGTTACGCTATAATGTCCACTAACACCACCAGATACTTGACAATCAGCTCATGCATGTTGGATCTTTAGAGCCACACAAGTTGTGTGCTATGTTGCTATGCGTCCTTGAATCTTGGTTTGACCGTACTGTCCAATGGTCTTGCCAGTATCGTCATGGACATGCATGTACATCGGCCTTCACAGCTAAGACTTTCAGCTTGTGCTTGTCTTGGTTGTGCTCACCTTCCCCTCCTATGTTATCATATAACAGTTATACGAAAAAAATTGCTATGCAAAATTGTTGCGTTGCTATGCAAACGTCGGGGTGTGTAGCAATTATTGCTATGCAATTTTTTTGAAGTAAATTAGTCCCTGTAACTACAAGTAAGAACATTCCAAGTTGGAATGCTGTTGGAGTGCGCATCCAAGACTTGCTAGAGCTGATAGCCAGTTAGTTGTAGAAGGTCAGTACCGTCGGTCAGTGCCGTGCAATGTTATCGCATGAGTTGATTGTCATGTGACACAGGGGTGTTGGACACGTTACGGTCATTACGCTATGGACCGTATCACTTTTTGCCCCCAGGTACCACCCCGTGAACCAATAAAATAAACTGATTTGGACTCTAAATTTCCAAAATTTCGACTCAGCCACCCGTTCCCCACGAGTAACTTGTACTTCAGATGACTGACCTTACCACACTATAATACCTTCAGACGCCCCTGTAACTGATGGTGTTAGTGGACTTTATAACGTAACTTGTAGTTCCTTGGTGGTTTTTGTGTTTTCTTGGTTGAGCCGACGGTTTCATTTCTGTGTTCTGTAGTGATTGGCCTGTGGAAACAATCCAAGTGGATGTCATTGTGTTCTATGTATGTGTCTTTTGCAACAGGTTCAAGGCAAGGTGCACGTCATGAAGCATTCGGCCCGTGATCTCAGTGTCTGGGAGCTTATGTAGCATTGGTTGTATGGGTGATCAAAGATGATACTCTGCATATCAATGTAAGTGTCCAGTATTTGTACTCTGCCCATACAACACAGCAACAACGACAGAGTTACATAGCCAGTGGCTGGCAATGGTGAAGTAATCATAATGAATAATGATGTGTTAGTATTCCTGACCTATTGTAAGCAAGTAAGCTCATCATTACTACAAGACTAATAGTATTACTAGCAGCAGACATGACGTCATTCTCCTGTTTACATACCTCTAATATCTGTATGTACAGCTGCAGCAGCAGTGGGTACCATGGCAACACAGTACACACTTTATCTCCCTCCCATGTTCAGTTTTACTGCTCTGCACACACCATCGTGGTGTGGTTGACGTGTGTTGTGTGTTTTTGTTCTCAGCATCTTCAGCATAGTACACGTGGTGAATCATGTACCGGGTTACTTTCCATCGCCTGCTGCCTCCGCCGCCGTATACGTATCATTTTTATTGAGATGACGTGAGTTTACCGTGATCAGTGATTTCCCCGTCACCCCGGCTTGCCTGCTGTCATACTGAAAGCTTTCCAATCTATTGAATCTATCCATTTTGTTCTTGCCTGCAACAGCAATCAACACTCTACCATCTATTTACTGTTGTTTTGTACGTCGCTGTGCACGTTTGAGCCAGCTACACTGCACTCGTGTGTGTATATGTGTACGGTCTGTCTGAATATCTATAGTCACATGACCAGTGCATGGTTACATCATCAAGAGTACACACAGCTACACTGCACTCGTGTGTGTATATGTGTACGGTCTGTCTGAATATCTATAGTCACATGACCAGTGCATGGTTACATCATCAAGAGTACACACAGCTGCACTGTGGGGTGCTCAAGAACGGTTGGGTTATGTGAAAAACGGACATGCAGGCTGGAATTTCACCCTGGCACAGCATACCAATGTATAGACAGTAACTCAACTGTGCATAAACCATAGTACATGAAAATAGGAATGCTCTAGGCTACTACCAGGCTGACCCCCCAGTTCTTTCTAACCCAACAGTACAGTGTAAGTTTGACATCATCTACATGCAGTAGATATCCGCAAAGTTACATGGTGCAATGTACTATGTGTACTGGGGGTAATAAAATAATGACCTCTCTGGAATGGTGCGCTGTACTGGGGGTAATAATGCCCTCTCTGGAATGGTGCACTCTATTGGGGGGTAATACTGCCCTCTCTGGAATGGTGCCCGGGGTGCAGTGCAGACCGTGACTGAATGCTTGAGATCAAGGAAATACATTACAGCTGTATCATGTGTGATGAGGTGATGCAGCATGGCCGCGGTGCAGTGTGGACTGAGAGCAATGGAGTTTCCGCGCGTCTCATCACACCAAGACTAGATAAACTCTTCGTCACAGTCATTAGGAGCAGGAGAGTGCCGGCTACAGCTGATCAAGCGTACCACCAGCAACAATGAATGTATTTCATTAAATGCTGGCATTGGTGTCAACATTGACAAACACGTACATCAGCAATCGACTATCAGAGCAGAAGCAGAAGATCAGTGAACACCACCAGTATAATTTAACTGTATATACATATCTATAAGACTATTGTACAGTGTACTCAGCACTTGCTGGTGACAATAACCACATCAACAAAACCAACAGAAGAATCGTGACGGAGAGCTACGTAGTGTGCAACAGTATGAACAGAAGTATTGTCTGCAACATCAGCAGTTGCACTACCAGTAACATCATGTATTCTTGTGTGTATACTTGACTGTGAGGAATCATATCCGTAAATCCTAGAATAAGCAGAAAACTGATCATTGAACTGTTTCTTCAGCAGAGTCATGCATGCCACACAATACAATCATTGAAAACAGTACCCACACAAATTACATTCTACTCAAGTGAATTCAATACTCAGTGTGATGTGTGCTGCACGCCCACACACACATACAAGCACGCACGCACGCGCGCACACACACACACACACACACACACACACACACACACACACACACTCACACACACACACACACACACCTTGACCTTGACCTTGATCTTGCCCATTGCGTACGCAATGATAGCGAATGTCGGAAAGTTCAAGTGAGAACACGAGCGCAGAACTTGGCATGTCGTTTCAGATCTCCTGGTCGACGAAATGGGCGTCCACAGACACATAGAAGAGGATCAGGAGCGGGCCGTGGCGGTGGGGTGCTACTCGCAACTTGTCTCCAACCGGGACGATCTTGGCAACTCTCAAGCCAGGTGGTCACGCCGAGGTCCGCCAGGTCAGTCGACACCACATATCGCCACCTCTTCTTCGGGCCGTGACGAGGACGGGGGGCAGGCAGCTCGCCAAACAGCAATTGATTCGGTGTGCCAGCACACACACACACACATACACACACACACACACACACACACACACACACACACACACACACACACACACACACACACACATCATTCTGGAAGTTGTGCAATCATTGACTGTTGGTTGGTAGATCAAACTTGAACATTACGTCAGCTCTGTCCTTGCCTACTCCTTCAGCAACGGCTGGAAGTGATAGAAAGTTTTTAAAGAAGACATTATACATGCATGCACACACACACACACACACACACACACACACACACACACACACACACACACACACACACACACACACACACACACACACACACACACACACACACACACACACACACACACACACACACACACACACACACACACACACACACACATCATTCTGGAAGTTGTGCAATCATTGACTGTTGGTTGGTAGATCAAACTTGAACAATACATCAGCTCTGTCCTTGCCTACTCCTTCAGCAACGGCTGGAAGTGATAGAAAGTTTTTAAAGAAGACATTATACATGCATGCACACACACACGCACGCGCACGCGCGCACGCACGCACGCACGCGCGCGCACGCACACACACACACACACACACACACACGCACACACACACACACGATGCACACAAAGATGCATGCACAACCACACGTACGCACACACACACACACACACATGCACACAAATCGCACAAAAATGTTGGCCTCCTGGAAAGACAGGCAGTTCGTAGGCAGTACGGTCATTCTCGTATTCAAATTCAACACACAAAGAAATGACCTGCATATAGAAAATAGAAAAGAAAAATGACCAAGGAACTACAAGTTACGCTATGATATCCACTAACACCACCATTAACCCAGGCCCACGTGTAAACACCCAGGTCTCCGGGCATACCTCTGCATATGCACATGCGCAAGCGCATACGCACGCACACACACACACATTCATGTACACAAACATAATTGCAGACACTCCAACGCCCCGTCTGTGCGTACAACGACGTACTCGCGCACGCACTCACAAGCGATCAGCACATAAGTTGGGAGTTGCCATGACTTCATTTTGATTACTTCAGCAAAGTGATGATAGACCAGTTCCAAGACAACAAACGATAATATTTGCGTCATATCATCACATTCGGTCGTCAGTAATTCACACTGCCCACCGGCGGCAGACGCACGAACCGCCCACCATCATAATTATTGTATGTGTGTGGTGTGACGCCTCATGCCAGGCAGTTGTGTGAGTTCTTGGCGTCGGTGGTCGTTTGTTTGCCCTCGCTGGGCAGTATGAGGTCGGCCCTAGCGGGCAGTATGCTTTTGCCCTTGGTGGGCAGGTTGTCGGCCTCGATGGCTGTTCGTTTGCTCAATAGGCAGTATGATTGAGCCCTCGGTGGGCAGTATATAATCGGCCCACGGTGGGCAGCATTCTTTGGCCCTCGGTGGGTACTAGGCTTTATCCCTTGGCGGGAAGTTTGCTGTAGCCCTCGGGGACAGGCTATTGACCTTGACGGCCGTTGTGCACCCTCGGTTGGGTGGTATGCTTTAGCATTCAGTAGGCAGGTTTCAGGCCTCGGCGGCCGTTCGTGCGCCCTCGGTTGGGCTATAATCAAGCGCCCTCGGTGGTGCTATGATCATGCGCCTTCGGTCGGGCTATAATCATGCGCCCTCGGTCGGGCTATAATGCGCTCTCGGTCGGGCTATAATCATGCGCCCTCGGTTGGGCTATAATCATGCGCTCTCGGTCGGGCTATAATCATGCGCCCTCGGTCGGGCTTTAATCATGCGCTCTCGGTCGGGCTATAATCATGCGCTCTCGGTCGGGCTATAATCATGCGCTCTCGATCGGGCTATAATCATGCGCTCTCGGTCGGGCTATAATCATGCGCTCTCGGTCGGGCTATAATCATGTGCTCTCGGTCGGGCTATAATCATGCGCTCTCGGTCGGGCTATAATCATGCACTCTCGGTCGGGCTATAATCATGCGCTCTCGATCGGGCTATAATCATGCGCCCTCAGTCGGGCTATACTCTTCTCTCGCGCCCTCAGTTGGGCAGTATGCTTTAACCCTGGATGGGTAAGCTGTAGGCCTGGGCAGCCGTTCATACGCCCGCAGCGGGCATGTTTCTGGCCATGTCTGCCATTTGTGCGCCCTCGGTGGGCAGTATGCTAACGGTCCACAGCAGGCAGGATTACTTAGCCCTCAGTGGCTTGGCTGTTGACCTCCCCAGCCGCTCATGTCAATGGCCCACGGTGGGCAGCTGCAGGCTAGCCCTCGGTGGCCAAGAACTCACACAACTGCCTGGCATGAGGCGTCACACCACACACATACAATATGATGGTGGGCCATTCGTGCGTCTGCCGCCGGTGGGCGGTGCGAATTACTGACGACCGAATGTGATGATATGACGCAAATATTATCGTCGCTGTCTTGGAACTGGTCTATCATCACATACTATTATATTTAATACATTTAATCAAAATGAAGTCATGGCAACCCCCAAACCTATGTGTTGATTGCTTGTGAGTGTGTGCGCGAGTACACCGTTGTACGCACAGACGGAGTGTCTGCTATTATGTGTATGTACATGAATGTGTGTGTGTGTGTGTGTGTGTGTGCGTGCGTGCGTGCGTGCGTGTGTGTGTGTGTGTGCGTGTGACCTGACTTGCGTGTGTACCCGTGGGCCTGGGTTAAAAGCTAAAACTGCATTTTGACACATGAAGAAATCAACTGCAAAGGAACGCTCCTTCACATCCCGACAATTCAAGAGCTTGAAGAAGACACGTCTTCCGATATGACACCATAACACTAACAGGATGTCTGTACAATTTTGCCAGCTTGTAAATCGTGCAGGGATAGTCACGTGACACACACTCACAGCAATATGCCAATATTGCGCATGTGCCAGGGCTAACTAGACTTTGCTGTGCAAAGCCTACATGTTACTGAACAATCAGCTCATGCGATAACATTGCACGACACTGACCGACGCTACTGGCATTCTACAACTAACTGGCTAAAGCGCGATGCACAATATCACTTATGCGACGCGATGAGCGACGAGCAATGCGATCGAAATGTTTTTCTGCAAAATTTTGAATCGAACCTCCGTCGCAGGTCTCATCGCGGAAAGTTGAGCCTAGTTCAACTTCTGCGACAAGCGACGAGCGATGCGCATCACTTTCTACACGGCGGGCGCACATGACAGCTCGCGTACAGTTTTGGACTGTGCATGCCCTGCAACGATGTGCCGTGCATTGTGCATCGAAGACTCTTCGTGCGATTCGAAAAAAGACTTTCGCTCGACGCTCATCGCATCGCAGAATTGATATTGTGCATCGCGCTTTACTGCTCCCTGATACAGACCAGCTGAGGTGGACCGGAAAGTTTGCTGCAGACTTTATGGTACTGGTCAAGTACACACATCTGTAGATTGAGAGTCTGGCTAGGGTGACTAGTGTAGTGTCTGTCTGATCATCATTATTCATCAACAAACAGGTGTACCCGTATTTCATACACTGATCAACACTGTACATCTACTACTGTACAACACATACCTGGGAATATGCTGATGTTGTGCAACGTCTTCCTGTAATCAATCCGAGATGAACTCCAGGACAGTAGAGTTGCCATAACGTAGCACGGAATTGTACAATGGAGGTCGAAGCTTGTCCATAGAGCATGGGTTCCCGTACAAGTGTACACCCTCCATTCCCATGATGCCTGGTGACTGCAGCATGGCTTGAATGCTATCATCGGTGATCTTGCACCACTCGAGGCCGATCAATCTCAAGCTTGTGTTCTTCCTCATCATATCCACCAGGGCATGCACTGTGGCATCATCAATCTCATTGTTTGCCATATCCATCCATTCAATACGCGCATGGTGATGGAGAGAGTGTAGGATACTTGCACCAACTTCATCACTCATGCCCGTCTTGGCAAATGAAATGAAGCGCAGCCGGTGGAATCCAGAAAGAAGCTGGCATAGCAGTTTGAAATCAGCATGACTGGGCTGTATATCATGAAACACTGGGTTGTAAAACAGAGACAATGCACTGACATGTGACTGTGGTGATGTCACTGCTTGTAGTACACTCGCAACACCAGATAGCTGTATCCTATTCCTGGTCAGACGAAGGTATTTCAGCACTGTGTTGTGAGCAAGGCCAGATGTTGCCAGAGCAGTTGCTCCAGCATCGGTGATATTACTCTCTGCTATGTCCAGTAGGTCTAGGTGAGTGTTGGTTGCAAGGTACTGACCAAGTGATGACATCATGGAGTCATCAACCTTACCAGGTAGGCGACCGCCACCGCATAGACTGACCAGATGATCAATTGACTGAGTCTCTACTGAAGTACCAGTAGCATAGCGGCTGCCAATGTCGATTACGTCACCACCACATTGATTAGACGTAGCCACTTCCTGTAGAAGACGGATTGTTACACCAGTGCCGTTCAGATAAACCCTGCATGGTGGTAGTGTTGTGCTGACACTCCCAGTGTGCTCACGACTGCGACGCGCTTGCAGAAAGTCAACCACACTAGCGGCTAGCTCATCAGTCAGTCTGTTGTTGGCAAACAAGAGATGCTGTATGGTATCATGAGAATGGAGACTGGATAGTACACATGACACGTCACTGTTGGAGAGTGAGTTGTCATGCAGCCATAGTCTGGCAAGGCGTGGTAACTTTGTGACCAGTGTTGCCAGGTCAGATCCACATCCACTATCCAGTCTGCACCATGCCAGTGATAGATCTGTGAGATGATCACACGGAGCCAAGTTGCTCACAAATGCTGCCAAACCATCATTGCCAAGTACTGTAGTCCTTGCATTCAGGTACGTTAGACTTGGGTGTTTTACACATCCAGCAAGTGCTGCTCCATCTGCAGATCCACTGGTCAACCTTGTGCTGCTAATGTCAAGAACCTGGAGGGTACGCCGTGTTGATCTAGACAGTGTGCTTGATATGCTTGCCAATGGTGCTGCAGTGAGATCGGCACCAAACAAAGTCACCTTGACGCATTTATCCAGTTGATCAGACAGCAAAATGACACTGTCACTTGACAGATTACAACCGTCGAGATCCAGAGACTTTACATGGTCTACAAGCTCCAAAACAGTATGTAAGGCCATCACATCAACAACTTCAAGGTGGATTCCACTAACATCAATTCCATCACTGGCCAGGAGGTTGGCTGACATAGCATAGCAGCTATGTGTGACTATGTCAGTGTCCTGATTGGGATTTCCCTGAGTGCGGTTATGTTGGAGTGAAATGCGGTTTTCCATCAAACATCTCATCATGAACAGAAGCATCTTCTTCTTGCTCTTGACAGTATGATCACTGATGCTGTTTTCAGACTGTAGAGCCAACAATGATGCAAATAGAATGTCTGGCTTTAGTGCTCCAAAGACAAACTGCCAGAAGACAAGTGTGTTCAAGTCTGTGCCGACAGTGTTGATGCAGCTGCGGATGATGTCTACGCACGAGTCAGAAGAAATGATGCATCTCGATGCACACCACTCTTGCAGTGTCAAGTGAGTCAAGGACACAGTCTGAGTGGAACCGACGAACGACGGATGCATACCAGGGTTGAGCAGTAAGCCGAGATCTTGACAAATGGACTGGTGGAGGGTTGACAGCGTGGATGTAAACGTAGCCATGCCCCTTTGATATGTTGCAAGACACATCGTGTAGAGATTGTGCAATGCCTTGACTAGCTCCACAGCATGGTGATCACACTCCTCATCATTGTTGCTTGTCTCCTTCACATAGCGCTCCAAATGATGTTCTATTACCACGGGGATACTGACAAGATCACCACAACTGAAGTGCCCGCCACCACTGCAGTGACTGATGACGTCATGTGCAAGCCGTACTTGACCAAACTTCCTTCCTCGCCGCTTTTCCAGCTTTGCGACTGAGGAGCGTAAGTAGTGGTCGTAGAAAAGTGTCACACTGGAGGGTAGAGAGTTGTTGATGGGATATTGCTGAACGAGCAGAGCACATAGGAGTGGAGATTGTCGAATGGCTTCCTTCAGTAGACAGTTGTTCCGTTGGGAAAGCTCTTCCATACACTTCTTGGCAACCTCCTCTCCGAGCTGTCGTGAGCAGTACGCAAAGAGCTGGTCTGTCGAGAAGCCGAGAAGTCGGAAACGTAAGCGGAAATTCTGGATATGGTGATACGCTTCATCACACGGTCGGCTAGTTGCGACTACAATAGCATCAGGTAGTAGTGAATGGTTACTGCTGCTGCTCCTCAATATTACAGCTTCGGCTGCTGATCCTTTGCCAAACCCACCACTGCCAAGTTCGTCGATGCCATCAATAACGATCAATACCTGGTCAGAATGCTCTGTAAGGTACCTTAGCAAGGTAGATTGCTCCGGTTTACTGATGCCCAACTTGTCCAAACCAAGAAATACAAACCAATCAGTCGACTGTGTACGTGTCAAATCACGGCATGGCACGTAGAAAATGAATTCAATCTTTGCCAGATTTCCAGTCGTTGTCTCCATGATGTCGGCAATGACTCGTTTGCTCAGTGTTGTCTTTCCCTGCCCAGCGTTCCCAATTACGATGCAACTTTCCAGAATGTCTTCGTCAACTGTGTCATCACCACCACCAACACCAGCACCACTTTTGCCAGCGCTAGTTACACCTTCATAATAATGGGGATCAGACAAGAGCTGCTTAGCGCTGGACAGAACAAACTGCCTTCCTCCTTCCACTTTGTCACTCTTATCTTGTTTAGCTCCTGGGATAGCAACGCCTGGTGTACGGTCAGATATTGGCTGTCTTCCAGTGACACGGCGAGTTGCAGCTTGTTGCGCACGATACGTCAGCTGCAGAGCATCTTTCTCCGTCAGAGCCTGCATGGGCACGAAGCAATCCTTGACATCGCCGGACAAGCAAGTTAGATCTGAATGATCAGCGGTCGTCTTGCACAGATGTGTATTCACTCTGTGCAGATGTTGTTTAAGACGTTGAATGTGCCCACCATTGTCTGCTCCAGCATCATTCATTGCCAGTGTATTACGTGTCACTGTGCCATCGTTAGCTGTGTTGCTGGCTGCAGGCGTAGTAGCAACATGAACTGTGGTGAAACACAGGACAGGAAAGAGGAAAAAGAACAAATTGTTTGATGGTATATCATTGTACAGATGTACTGTGATGATATGTTGACAAGTATATTCCTAAATGTAGATAGTGTGTGTGTGTGTGTGTGTGTATATGTGTGTGTGTGTGTGTGTGCGTGCGTGTGTGTGTGTTTATGTGTGTGTGTGTGTGTGTGTGTGTGTGTGTGTGTGAACTACTGATTGTACCGTACATATACATACACACATGGTTAAAGCGGGATTCACAGAAGCTTTTTTGCAATGCGACACGCAATGCGACAGCTGCGAAACCGGGAAATCCCCAAATCGCAGCCATCTCGCAGCCCATTCAACTGCCGCAACTGGGTCATTGCAGAAGTTGAGCTTGGGTCAACTTTGGCGATGCGACAAGCGATTTGGCATACGATTTTGACCTTTTCTACAGCAAAGTTGTACAAAGGTTCAAGAGTTGCCTATAAATTTGTACAAGTTGTACCAAACTGCGCGATTACCATGGTGACGTACCCAACTGCATTGAACTTCGCGCCAAATCAGCAAGGCATCGTCGCATCGCTGACTTCTTTTGTGACTGGTATTTCGCGAGTTCGCATCGCACGCGTCCATCGCAGATCGAGTCGCATCGCGTATCGCATCGCAAAAAAGCTTCTGTGAATCTTGCTTAAGAACTGCACAGGAGGTGAAGTACAAAAGAAACAAAACACATGAAAAATGTGGATTGCCGCTTCGTGTTGCTTTTCATTGGATAATGATTTTAAAGTTTGTATGACTGGTTGACACTCCACAGCTGCATTTCACAAAGTCAAACACAATAGACAGGGCAGGGCTTTTCGTGAAATGCAACTGTTCTCCATGTTCTGTGTGGAGCGTTGTCGTGCTCAGGCATGCACTGCCGAAAATGTAGCAAAGCTGCTAGATTCTGGTTTGGTGGGAGGTGCGAAATGCATCTAGGATTCTCGTTATAGATCAAGGTTGAAATTTTATCGTGAACGTCTTATTTTGTATTGTGTTTCGGCATGTGGGTCTGGGTGGGCGTCCGATCATGGTGAACCACGGTCTGCCTGGTGGGCTGGAGGGGTGGAGGGATCATGCGCTTATTTGTATCGGTTTGCCTTTGTGGGTGTTGTGGTTTCTGGGTGTTGATGGTGGTCACATGTGTGTCACAGTAGGTGTCTGACGGTTTTTTTTTACGGTTTTGCAAGCGGATGTACTAAATGTTTCCGGTGTAATTATGGTGTTATCCCTGTGGTTGTCAGGGTGGATCCCTGGGGCTATTCAGGGTAGCGCCGTGTGATTTTTTCTTTAATGTCTTTTTGCGTATTGGTAACCGATTTGTTTGTGTGGTATCTGGTGTCTTCACTGATTAATCGCTCCTGTTTCTGTAGACGTGTTCTTCCTTGCTATTATTCCATTCCTGTCTTCTTCACATTTTTGGGCTTCAATTTATTTGCTTTCATCCTCAGGAGAGGATGTCTTTTTTCGGTGGGGGATAGTGTTGTACATGCTGCTGAATCGTGGTACACGCTGCTGAATCGTGGTACATGCTGCTGAATCGTGGTACACGCTGCTGAATCGTGGTACATGCTGCTGAATCGTGGTACATGGTACACGCTGCTGAATCGTGGTACACGCTGCTGCGCTTTTGCAACAGGTGTACTCACATGCATTACAGTCACCCGCTCTGCACACACTTCTCGCACTGGTCCCCATTGGGACAGCATTGTATCGCTGACCCGTGCACCTTTTGTGCTGATGAGCGCACCACTTTTGCCCTGATGAGTGCACCACTTTCCTGGATAATATTCACTTGTCAGTTGTCAGTTGTCATACGTCAGTTGCCCAGACGTCTCCTTAGAGAAAGAACAAAGTATTCTCTCCAACTAAACAACTGGCCTTCTGTTGTGTATCGCGGTCGCAAGAGGGGTATAGTTCACTTTTAGCTAGACGACACTTTGGTGTAATGAGTTTAAATCTGCTGGTAAGGTACAAAACTAAAATTTCCCTTGACAGCAGAAGTTTGGTTGATGGCAATGTTTAAATTGGGCATATTCAGACTGTTAATGATACATCCACAACCCTGAAACCCTCCCCATTCTACACATATCAATTACCTGTCTCGGAAGAGGATGTCTTGGCCGTTGGTCGCTGGTCAACGGGCAACAGGAGAAGCATTTCTTGGTACTTTTCATTGTACAGTGGACCCAAGTCATGGATTGCATTGCAGAGTAGTTTATAAGCAGCTGTGCCTCCAGGACGAATAAGACTGATGATGTGAGAATTATGCTTTTCCTTTCCTTCGTACTTCTCCAGACGCAGCAATGTCTCAATTTCCGTTATACTTATGAACACGCATTTGCCCTGCACAGCATGTCGAAACCTCGTTGTATCAATTTCACAGATCCAGGGTAGGATATTAGCAATGAACCTGGGATCACCAAATGGTTCATCTAAAGAATACGAAAAGACAAAAAACCAAATATACAGGAATGACTAACTAATCGAAACAGCATTGACAGATAATCATTAGTAATTTTGAGACAGTATCCTGGACAACCAATCACCATGACAACTGGGTCATGTTTGGACACATCAACATCATGTAGCCTCCTGCACCCCACACCCTTCCTTAGCACAGTCAAGCTCCACTGATGTGGAGCTACCTCCCCGTAAAACTGTACTTTAAGCAGGGAGAAGGTGTTTTCTTGCAGGTTCACAAAGTGAACCATTTGATGGATTTCTTGTATACGGACGGCAGTCACAATCAGTCAAATGACAAGTCAAGTCGGCAGGAAAACAGCGGCTCAAAGGTTGTAAGCAACAAACATTCCATAATGGGTTTGGTTCTCTACAAGGTATCTGCTTTCTATAGCAAGTCTGTTGTCTATAGGAGTTTTGTTTCTTGTTTGCTCTTGTAATCACATGTAACCAAAGGCTTGTTGCTAAGATACTGCACATTCAATTATGGTGGACTGCTGGTCTGACTTACTGTTAGACATTTTGAAGTACTTTCAGGACGATGATAAACTGGTTATTGTAGCACGGTTCATACACTCTTCACTGCAGTCATGGTCTTTGTAGTTTTCTGCATACACACAAACACACACACAGACACAGACACACACACAGACACACACACACACACACACACACACACACACACACACACACACAGACATACACACAGACACGCAAACACACACACACACACACTATCCTTTGACCTTTGAGCTTTTGACGCCCATCGCAGAAGGCGATGATGGCAATGCTACAGCAGAACCCATAGCAACTTGTGCTGGAATTACACCATTCAACAGCTTGCAAGGCTGAAGAATTGACCGCCACTATTCAGCCTGGTCTACACCAAACAGCTATGAAGTGGCTTTTTCTGGCCAGTGACTCCGTACGTTTGGTCTTTTTTCATATTTTTCTGCACACACATCACACCACATACTCCGGCATGCACTGCCTGTTGGAAACCACCCAGGAGAATGAAAGAAAAGTCAGGAGGAGTCTGATAAAGAGAATAAAGACGTGTGCGACCATAATCGTCGGGAATCGAACCCGCAACCTCTCGATTGGAAATCACACACACATACACACACACACGTATGCGCGCGCGCGCGCACACACACACACACACACACACACACACACACACACACACACACACACACACACACACACACACTTGTACTTGCAGTTGTTGCTCACTGCCAAAACTGATCACGTGGGTCTCTCCGGGAGAGGGGAGAGAGAGAGAGACTCAAAAGAAATCTTGGAAAGATGACTCAATTGGCTATTGAACCGCCCAACGGCCGACACCCCCTGAAATCCCCAAAACTCTGGGTGGACTTGAAAATGATCCCACTTTTGGGCTCACCACACCTCAGTAAGTGGGTGAGGACAAGGTGCAGAAAAATGGATTGACGCCACGGCATCAGGGTACCTGTCCCGGGATCCAACTGCAGTTACCCTGCCCTCAGTGAAGGTAATACTTGGTACTAGTGTGGGTGGCTAAATCAGAGTGGATCTGATATAAGCGTCACTAGCACCATTGATTACACAAGAGTTAATCTAGCCAGAAGCAGTCCATAGACTAGGCATAGTTAACAGGTATGTATACTTCAAATAGAAAGTATATGAACCCTGCAACCAACAAAGGTGGCAGGTACAACATTACACCTTCAAGTAGCCGAGCCCGTTGGCAACAGACCCAACACAATCAGGCATAAGTGTACCCACCAACCGAACTAGCTGGCACACACACACACACACACACACACACACACACACACACCTCACCTCAGACATGCCCATCACGGAAGTGACGATAGCGAACAGCTATGTAACATTGTTAGACATAGCAACTTGTGCTGGGATTACACCATTCAACAGCTTGCAAGACTGATGAAATGACCGCCACTATAGTGCGTTTCAAAAGTCCAGACCTCTGGTTTCAAAAAACCGTTTGGCCAGCATCTATACCACATAAAATCTGTGTTCACTTTGTGCATAAAATTTTCGAAATTGGGCGTCTGTTATCCAATCGCTTAGAAATTTACATGAGAAAAATTGCGTGAGCTGCCTGAGCAATATTCCGAAGAAATTTCTCAAAAAGCTCAAACCAAATTTGAATTATTCGAAAAAGTCTAGAGGTCTATACTTTTGAAACGCACTATAATTGACCGCCACTAATTTTTAGCCTGGTATCCACCACACAACTGATTGAAATGTTGGTTTGCGTTGCGCAAACCGTAGTTAACCAGCACGCCACGGGCCGCGCCCCCGCACGGGAATATTCCTGCTAGATGACTTTAGGTGACCTTACGCACTCCGCCGTGCAGCCGCAGCCGACTTGAGCAAGCACGCTCTCTTGCGGAGTTCCGCATTCGAGTAGCACTCGCGTACGACATCCCGCACGAGCCACCCTTCGCCTGGCGGATGCATCCGTAGACGGCTCATCTACTGCTGGCTGGTGTATTTTTTGCCAGTTGTCTGTTTTGCTGTGAGAGCTCGCCACGCAATTTTGTTTCCCACCCTCCCACATCTAGCGGACGGAGGGGAGACACGGGCTCGGCCGATGGGCACGAAATCCGCATGGTGCACATCCATCGGCTGCCGCAGACAATACATTTTTAAAATCTAGTTGTGGGTACTACCGAGTACTTAGTGGTCATGCAGTTGCCATAGCAATGTACTGGTACACCCAGCCTTTATGATTGTTACATGACCCCATGGGTCATCTTTCAAACGCTCTTTCAAAGCCGATAGACGGCGTTATTTGTTCCTATCATACAAGATTTCAGATGGGCGGCCTTAGACGGCCCAGTCCGATCATTTCACGCGAACTATGTTATACGTCATCATGATCACACTAATCATGTCGTGCTCACGTTCAATATAAGCTTGCGACACCCCACTGGCTCATCTTTCCTGTGGTGTGAGGGTTAAGTGGCCAGCGAATCCCTATTTTTCATTATTATTATTTTTTTTTTTACACACACACGTCACACCACATACTCTGGCATACACTGGCTGTTGGTAACCACCCAGGAGGATGAAAGAAGAGCTAGGAGAATCAGAAAGAGAAGACGTGTGCGACCATAATCGTCGGGAATTGAACCGGCAACCTCTCGATTGGAAATCGACTGCACATACCGCTGCTCCATATGGGACACACACACACACACTTGTACTTGTTGCTCACTGCCAAAACTGGTCACGTGGGTCTTCCCGGGAGAGGGGAGAGAGACTCAAAAGGAATCTTGGAAAGATGACTCAATTGGCTATTGAACCGCCCAACGGCCGACACCCCCTGAAATCCCCAAAACTCTGGGTGAACTTGAAAATGATCCCACTTATGGGCTCACCACACCTCAGTAAGTGGGTGAGTACAAGGTGCAGAAAAGGATTGACGGCATCAGGGTATCCGTCCCGGGATCCAACTGCAGTTACCCTTGCCCCCAGTGAAGGTAATACTTGCTACTAGTGTGGCTGGCTAAATCAGAGTGGATCTGATATAAGCTTCACTAGCACCATTGATTACACAAGAGTTAATCTAGCCAGAAGCAGTCCATGGTTAACAGGTATGTATACTTCAAATAGAAAGTGTATGAACCCTGAAACCAACAAAGGTGGTAGGTACAACATTACACCTTCAAGCAGCCGAGGCCCGTTGGCAACAGACTCAACACTATCCGGCACAAGTTCCCAGGAATACAGAAGCTAGCAATGGTAGTCATGGCTCTGCAATACAACTCACCGCTATGGAGATGAAAGCAGCTACTAGGCGTTGAACAGCTGGATTATGTGATTACCAGAAACTCAGCTTGGCTAGTGATCCAGGTCAATCCAACATACAAGAGTTGACAATGCCTCATTCACTGCAGTGATCAGTTCCTTCCTTGCTACGCTGTCGAAACCTTTACATCTGGCGGTACAGTGTGTAAGGTGCACACGTTTGTTGTGGTGTCTGAAAGAAGGAAATTTGAGAATAGAAGTCAGGTTTTAAAGTACTGATAATATTCAGAAGAGAATGTATCATGAATCATGGATGAGCAGCCTATGCTCATTCTTAGTCACTAACTACACTGTAATGGCTTTACATGTGTCTTCACTTAACACTCTACTATACTGATACAGGTTATCAACTTACACACAGTGTATAGTAGTAGACACGGGCGTATGCCAATGCTACACTGCAAGACCGACAACCAACTGCACAAGAGGTCGCCCTCCTGGTGAGCCTGAGCTCCTCACAGCTCAATAGCAACAGCGAGCCGGAACCCACAAATGAGCATGACACAGCTAGTGGGCAGGGGGCTGCAACACCGCCAATCTCGCCAGCTGACCAACGACTCAGACTCGGTGAGCTGAGCCCCGAGGACACAGGGCAGATCATATCTGCAGCGTACGAGGAAATCGTACACTTCCGGCCTAACCTGTTCTCCATCCCATCGGGTGCACATGGCAGGTCAGTGGTGGACTTGAGCGCTCGCTACCTCAACACGTTCTGAACAAACGCAGCGGGAGAAGGCATAGCCTTGAAGGCAATTATGGTCTGCCACAGTCTTCTACTGCAACAACCGGTCAACTGCTTGACACGCAAGGTGCATGTGGAATGTCTGAACCGACGAATGCAGCTTTGGAACGAGGGAAACATCGATGAGCTTGTCCGGGAGGCACGTACCATCCAACGCCAACTAACCAAGGAACGTGGCCGGAAACGGGCCCAAAGTCCAGATGATGCGCGAGTTTCGCTACCCTCATCACAAATGGTGAACTGGGTGCAGATCTCCAGTCCCTGACAGCAACGCCTTCGGGTGGGCTGCTAAATCTGGACTCCTCCACTGATGGTAAAACCGTGAGGCAAACGCTGAAAGAGAAGCAACTGCCGGCGGAACCCATGCATGCAGATGCCCTCATCATCGGCCCCTGCCCCGAACTGCCGCATCCGGTGCTGTTCGAAGCTCTGAACAGAGACATCATTCGGCAATCGGTGCTACGGACAAATGGAGCAGCGGGCCCATCCGCCATGGACTCTACCAGCTGGAAACGTTTGTGCACCTCGTTTGGAGCGTCCTCGGACCAGCTATGTGATAGCATCGCCGCCTGTGCTAAGCGCATCGCCACCGGAATCTTCAACCCAATCTCCCTCAAGCCATTCACAGCATGCCACTTGGTGCCTCTGGATAAGAAGTCCGGGCTGCGCCCAATTGGCATATGTGAAGTCCTCAGAAGGATAGTAGGCAAAGCCATCCTCACCATCATCGGAGGGCAGATCCAACAGGCGGTCGGGTCGCTTCAGCTGTGTGGCGGCCAAGAATGTGGAGTGGAAGCAGCAA